GACCGAGTGAGACTCCAACTCAAAAAAAAAAAAAAAAAAATTTTTACTAAACCGACTCTCAGAGTCCACAGCTATTGGAGAAATATCTAAAAGCAGATAACGGCTGATGTTTAAACCCAGTGAAATCTGCAGAAACTTACCAAAAACATGGAATCCCAAAGTGCAGGTGTAGGTAGCCCATTCGATGTCTCGTGTAGTTTCCACACTTACGACTTGCTTACAAGCAGAGGGAATCCCTGGAAAAAACAAGCACAGGGTGGTGACATCCAAGCCCAGGAGGCCTCACCCCTCCCCTGGGCAGGGCAGAGCCTTCAGGGCCGTGTGCCTTGGGCTACGGAGTCCCTCCACCAGCGGGGAGAAAGATCCCCTCCAGGCAGGACCTGGGAGCACAGTTTCAACACAGTTTGCCCTGCAGGCGCCAAGCCCAGCTCAGAGGAGGCCCCTCCTCTTGTCTTGTGTCTGAGCCTCCACGGGCTCACTGCTCCCACTGGCGCCCGGCACAGCTCTGGCCCTCAGGCTCCCTACCCCTTGGCTCGGAGTTAGGAACCGAAACTCATGGAAACAGCCACGTCAAGGGCCTACAACCTCCCAGGCGACTTGCTGTTCCCCAGATGAATAATGAACACTCTCCCTGGGAACACTCCTACTGGTGGAGCATGGGACCGGGTCTGAGAAGATGCTAGGCCCGGGGGGTATCCCTGGAAACCACCCCCCGCCCCTGTACCTGTATCAGACAGAGCCCAGACAGGAGGAGAGAGGGACTACATGGCCGGCTTCCCCTCTGGAGGGAACTTAGTCCTGGTACGTGCTGCCTCCCCTCTCTCCTACCACCCGCGGTCCTGCCTGTCCCGGCTTCTCAACAAGCGGGTGACAGACCCAAGTACGAGCAACTTCCTCCCCACCCACAGGCTCCTGGGTCTATGGCCTGGGCTCTGAGTTCCTTATCTGTAAAGTGGAGATGAGCAGAAAGTGCCGTGGACCCCAGGAGAGAAGGAAGGTGAAGGGCACTGCACTTTAGCGTAACATCCAGCGGGCAGAGGTCAGGCCTTTCTCGTGCCCATGAGTTCCTTTGTCAAGCCCCCTTGCTGAGCCCAGAGCTCGGTGCACAGCGGGTGCTTGGCGACTGAGGAATCTGGGCAGGCCATGAGAACGTGCTCGGCCAGGACCCCGGAGTCAGCCTCACGACTCCAAGGTCCTTCCTGGGCACAAGGCTGGCCAGGGAGAGGGTGGGAGAGAGGAGCAGGGGTCCTAGGGCTGCTGTCCACCCAGGTGGGAGGGACTTCTGTCTGTTGGGAAGATGCCTTGACACCTTTACACGGCCCCTCGCACTGTGACTAGCTCCGGCTCTGTTCCCTTCTGCCACGTCCTCCCACCTCCAGCCTCTCCCTGGGCACCCGAGTCAGCCTGAGCCCACGCCAAGGTCTCCACACCAGGAAGGACCCAAGAGGCTGTGCCCAGAGACGGCATCATGTGCCCAAGTCATCTGGGGGATGAGTTTTCAGAGGCCCTTTTGGGTCTCAGAGTGACATTTTATGTGACCCAGCCATCAGACACATCAGGGCGTTACTCACAGTAGAGGATTTCATAGTCTCCGGAATTTGACACGAGGAACTGTGAGTTTACAGACCAGTCCAGGTGTGTAATGAAGCTGGAATGACCCTGGAAGGAACAATTGTGTGGTTTCACTTACTTTGTAAATTCCTGACACTGTGCTGATGTAACTGAATGACTCATGCATATTCATGAGAGAGTGGCGCACTTACTGAGCATTTGCCAATGCGGGTGTACTTCCGCCCGTTATCGCCAACTCCGTAAATATAGATACAGTTGTCGTGAGAGCCTATTGCCAAGAAGTTCCCATCTAGAAAAACACGACAGTTGACATTTGAGGTGTTAAAAATAAACAGTTTATTCATTAAAAAGGATTGTGGTAGTTGCCACCGCAGATTTAGACAAAATAGCTAGGTTAGTGAATTATTTCAAAGACAAGTTTGCTTTTGCATGACTCCTATGCCACTTTCAAAGTTGTCTTTTGGAAACACACACCCACTGGGTACGGTGGCTCATGCCTGTAATCCCGGCACTTTGGGAGGCTGAGGTGAGAGGATTACCTGAGTCCAGGGGTTCAAGACCAGCCCGGGCAACTTGATGAGACCTCATCTCTACAATAAATCAAAAAATTAGCCGGGCATAGTGGCGCATGCCTGTAGTTCCAGCTACTTGGAAGGCGGAGGCACAAGGATCGCCTGAGCCCAGCAGGTCAAGACTGCGGGGGCCATGAGTATGCCACTGCACCCCAGCCTGGGTGACAGAGTGAGACTCCTACTCAGAAACAAAGAAACAAACAAACAAAATACACCTGATCAAATGATAAAATCCAGTAAAGATTTATAAACTTCTAATAAAATTATGTAAAATCATATAAAACCCTTCCCTGGCCATCTCTGTCCCCAACCCTGAAGGACTGACACTCAGCTCCTTGGAGGGGCTCACAGGCCCTCCAGGCAGTGACCTTTCCAGTAGTGTTATTCCTCAGGGAGCACAGGTTTGCTCCACGCCCCTTGCCCCTGCCCAGGCCCAGAAGGCCCTTCTCGCCTTTTCCAATGAACGGTCCATCCCCAGTGCCTCCTTCACCGGGTTTCCAGTCCCAGGAATGCCTATGGCTGGGACGCTTGGATGGAAACACGAGGGAAAGAGCTCGCTGCAGAGGGAGCAGAACCAGCCCTCGGAGCTGGCAAGTGGCCAGGCCAAACATGATGCTGAGGACAGGGAGACCTGGGACACGGCAAAAGACGAGCAAAAGGAAGGACCAGAAGCCTGAAGCCATGCAGGGTCAAGAACAGAATGCAGGGTGAGGTCTCTCTGCACCAGCATGGGGGCTGCAGCCCTTCCATCCACAGAACGTAGTGAATGGTGCCACTTCCCAGCAGACGAGAAGGTTCCTTGGACAGTATGTATAAAGGACCCCGTGCTCATGGCACAGAAAGCCTTCTCAGGGCTGCGTCTCTCCCACCTCTTTGTCTTGCTTTTCCTTCTCCCACATAGGGTACAGTGTGGCCTGGCACCACCGGGAAATGGTGTTTGAGGAAGTGCTGGCCTCGCTGGGTCAAAATAGGTGTGTTAACAAGACAGAGGCAGTGTGTCCAAGTCAGGAAGCCTGAAGGAGTGGGACAAATCCTTTTTTTTCCCCCCAATGGAGGAAAGAAACAAAACAAAACAAAGGACCGCTGCCAGGCGTAGTGGCTCACATCTGTAATCCCAGCACTTTGGGAGACCGAAGAGGAAGGACTGCTTGAGCCCAGGAGTTCAAGACCGGCCTGGACAACATAGTGAAACCTTGCCTCTACAAAAAAAAAAAAAAAAATTATTAGCTAGGCGTGGTGGTGTCATCTATAGTCCCAGCTACTTGGAAGGCTGAGGTGGAAGGATCGCCTGAGCCAAGGAGGTTGAGACTATGGTGAGCCATGATCATGTCACTGCACTCCAGCTTGGGCCACAGAGTAAGATTCTGACTCAAAACACAAAACAAAACAAAACAACAAATAAATACAGCTCGAATCAACAGTCTTCACGCAGCAGTTGAAGCGTGCTGCTGGCTGAGAAACCCTTGCTGCCAAGGGAAGTGGCCGATGGCAACACTCACATTCCCAGGGCTCTGACGGGCACAGAGACCAAGAGTCAAAGGAGACCTCTGTCCTCCTTGCAGCTAACTCTGACCACCCCCGCCCCATCCCAGGTCTCCAGGATCTTAGCACACACCCTTCCTGCCCCGCCCAGAGGTGCCTCCCTTCTTGAGGCAGTGAGACGTGGAAGCGTGGGCAGGTCCAGGAAGACAAAGGTAGAACTGGGAGGAACGTCCCCTTTGTCAGGGGTAGTGCCTCCCAGAGCCAACACCCCCATCACAGAAAACCTCCCGTCACTCAAATGACTCCCATCGACCACGACAACTGCCCAGACGACAGCGGAGCTCACGGATGAGAATGTGGGCTTTGCATTTACCATATTACTATAAAAAAGGGACTGGCAGTAGTGGGATACTGCTGGGTGGGGGGAGAGACACAACATTAATGAGGGTACCTGATCTCAGACCAGGCAAAGTGGGGACCAAAGGGAGGCCCAAATTGTACCTGTACGATGTTCACTTGTATACCTAATCCTGAATTATACCCCACATCTTTAAAATATTTTTAAAAAAAGATAAAAGAAAATGGGCTTTGAGGTCAGAAAACCTGGGTTCAAATCCAAGCTCTAAGCCGGGCTCGGTGGCTCAGCCTGTAAATCCCGCGCCTTTGGGAGGCTGAGGTGAGTGGATTGCTGGGTTCGAGACCTGCCTGGGCAACTTGGCGAGACCTCATCTCTACAATAAATAAAAAATGAGCCGGGTGTGGTAGCGTGCATTTGTAGTTCCAGCTACTTGGAAGGCTGAGGCGGAAGGATCGCCGGAGCCCAGCAGGTCGAGGCTGCGGTGGCCGGGAGCGGTTGCTGCACTCCAGTCTGGGCGACAGAGTGACACTCCGACTCAAAAAAAAAAAAAAAAAAAAAATCCAAGCTCTTTCATTCCTTCATAAACGTACAAAACCGTTTGCCTGATAAGTTGCAACCAGCCAGGGTCAGTCACCATGTTAACCAGAAGCCAGAGAGAACCCAGTCCCTCTCTCTCTCTCAGTCCCCGGGGACCTGTTTCTTCCTGTGCTCAGTTCTCTGCCCCCATAAGCTCTAAGCCTCATTTCCTGTTCCTAAACTCACTCCACCCAAACAAGCTGGTATCTGGTCCAGCGTGAAAATCAGCTGGAAAACTCGTCAAGACAGGCAAGCACCGGTCCAGTCACCCAGAGGTCAAGGACAACCTGCCAGCTGTTTTTCCTGACTGCCCACACTTGATCAGGTTAGGGGCTGGGACTTGCACACAGATCTCGGTCAAGCCCAACAGCGTCTGAGTAGACAGTACAAATCGCCACGTTCTGCAGATGAGAAAACTGAGCTCAGTAGCACGTCTGTGGTGACAGCCAGGCGAGGGGCACAGGCAAGGAGCCAGCACTTGGTCTGCAAGTGACCTGCACCTGGACGAATGAGGCCTGGCTGTGGGAGATGGTGAACGGGTGCAAAACCAGTTGTCCAGCGGCTGTACATCCTCCCTCCTAGCACACTGGGCATTGGGACTTTGGACTCAGAGATGAACCTCCTGCATCTACTCAGGGACCAGCCCAGGGAGGGGCATGCTAATGTGGCAGGAGACAGAGGCTGGCTGGGTGGCAGGGGCTGGATCCTGGCAGTCTCAGACTCAGGCAAAAGACAGAGGGTTTGATGGGACGAGTGACACAGTGAGTGCCAGATTCTGATTCATTCTAGTTGAAGCAGAAAGAGCCATATCTCCAACAACATGAATAGGATTAAAGAGCAGAAGCACAATCACATGACCAACTGCACCCAGCCCATGTGGTCTTCTCGCTTCCATTTTCTCATTTGGATCTGTGGCCTATTTTTGGTGGGTTGAAGCTAGCACGGACAGGCGAAGTGTTTGCAGTTGGGCTTAGTGAGTATGAAATTACTTTCTTCCTATTTCTGTTCTTCTTTTAAACATGTACAATTTTAGTTCAATCAAAGCTCCATTTTGTCCAATTATAAAGTACTCTATGAGATTCCAGATATGCATGCTAAATATGAGAACTGTCACTACTAAACTTCTATATTTAATAGACCCAGCAGGCCTGGCATTTTGCCGATGATCACTGTTGACTGTCATTTCAATAAACTGTCATGTAACATTAGCTTATTAGCCTAAGACCATCTTAAGTGAAATATCTCATAGATGTATAAAAATATTTGCTCAAATGTGACTGAAACGAGTTTTAGATGGTCCATAGAAATCTTCTAGGCTCGCGGTTCTCGGAGCACCAAAGAGCCCTCGCTCACTCTGAGCAATTCTCACGTACACAGCCCCTGCCACCCAGCCAGTCCCTGTCCCCTGTACACCCAGAAGGCGCCACTGCACTGTCTGCTTTCAGGATGCACCTTGATTCTGGGACTATCTTTCTGAACCTCCCTCTTCTTTCAAAGGTGAGCTATAGATTAAAAATGGAAGCCTGGGCCTCCCTCTAGTGCTCACAAATCGAGAAATTATCTGGAAGACTTAGTGCTCCGCCCTGCTGTTACAGATTTGACTGTGCAGTTTAACGTTATGAGTGACTTCTCAGCCCCACACCCTCTGCACACCTAGCATCAGCCTTACAGAGATTTTCACAGCAGCCCGATTCTGCCTGAAGCTCAACTCTCCAGAACTCTAGTCTGTGGTGACAGGCCAGTGTCTGCCTATGTGACTGGATACAAAGGTGGCATTTACTTATGGTCAGAGGGCCTGCAGCTGGGAGCCATGGGTCCTTCCCAGCATCCTTAGGGACCGGCTCAAGAACTATTAGCTTTTCCTCTAGCAGTTAGCACAACATCCAGAGTTTTCCTGAGACCGACAGAATGAGGAAAGGCCCTCACAATTTAATGATGGCTTCCATTCCTGGCTACCACAGCCGAGGGGGTCCCCTGGGACACGGGTTATAGATCTGGGGTGGGGTTACGGCAGCAGGTTCCTGAAATTCCATGTCAATGGCAGCTCGTGTTTGGACACCTAATGTTTTCTCTCTCTCTTTTTTGTCTCAAGTCTGTAAATACTTGAATTCAAAAAGAAGCCAGTAATCTGCCATGAATAGTGTAGCCTATGTTCTGAAAAAATCTTGTGCAACTAGAAAACTCATACTGCTGACCACATTCTGCTGTGCACTGTAGTTAGCTATGTCCACACACACACACATGCAACTAACGGTTACTGAGCACCGACTGCAGTAGCCTCTGTGCTAGGAACTGGGCTTC